GGATATGTGGGGAGAAAGGAAAGTATTATAAGTGGCGCATATGTTATGTTAACTTCAGACCAGTACACCCATGCATGTATATGTGTATGTTCATGTATTCCCCCTTCTGTCTTGAATATATGCGAGATGGTCAAGTAGAGATATAAGTGGAAGTAGAGTTATAAGGAGAATCAATCTACATGTTATTCCTCCATCTGTCTTAGGCAGATGTGATCGAGATGATTGAGTAGAGGTCTAAGTAGAAATAGAGATATAAGAAGACTTTGGGACATGTGCATTGCATTATGCATTATATGTCATGTGTTTGTGTGTGTGTGTGTGTGTGTGTTTGTGTGTGTATTGAGCCATTTGTTCCAAGGTTTCACTCAAGTTCATATGAAATTCATGTGAATATTGACATACACTTATGTTACTACATAACATGTTTATGCCATTAACATTAATTGTGGTTCTATTTCTAGTTGCACTGTCGATGTTAAGTTAAGAATTGAACCCTATATTACCACTATTTTACTCTTTATTAAAACTAGATGAAATTAACCTTTATTTATGTACAAATTGACTTTTAAATAATTATATTTAGATATTGAATATTGAGTTCTCTAGTAGGCCTCGTGTAGAGCACTGGGTAATATGTGCTTATCCTATATTGCTTATATGCTTTTAGAAAAAAGGAAAAATCACAACTGAATAAATAGAAGAGGTTGATAGAAGCGAAGCTCAAGAGTTAGGTATGTTTATATTGTGAATATATTCTTTTGACAATACAGTTCTTGATCTTAATGGATGTTGGAAAAAGAAAAACTAACATGGTTTGTTGTATATTTCATATTTTGATATGAAATTATGATAATAAATGTTTATATTTAACATACATGGAAGTTTTAGTTGCTTTGGATTATGGTGCATTTATAGACCTAGTTAAGTTTAAAGTATAATTCTTTTTTATTAGATCTTGAGACATGAAATGATGTGTGTAGCACAACATGATGCATAACCAAGGCCTAGATATTTAAGAATAACCACATTCTTAAGTCTTACTAAATGTAATTAGAGCTCACAAAGAGGCGCATAATCATGTTTAGATCCAAGATGATCTATAAGTTTCATACAATATGTTGCAAAGTTATCACTTTCACATGCACACGATCATGTTTAGATCTAAGATGAGTTAGAGCTCTCAAAGAGATCGCTCATATAATCCTTTAATACCTACACTTAATGCAAAATCCCATAATATAGAAAACTTATTTTGGTACCTAAAAGGCTATATTCAACATTTACTAGATCATAACATTTTATTTAATATATTATTCATTTCTTAAGTTGTTATTCCTAAAAATATTATAGAATTTATATCTAATTCCACTAAAATATGATGAGATTATGGCACCTATTATAACAATCTGACTTCAAATATTCATTACCATTACTATCTTCTCATGATTAACAAACTTTAATGTTAAATTGTTTATTCCTTTAATTGGTCCATTGATAGTTATAATTGATTCCCAAAGATACCCATCAATAGGAAGGAAATCAATCATGTTCTACATGACTTTTGAGTTTTCATTCACACCAAATCCTACATGTCATATGAAATGAGCCTATTATATTTAGTATGCCTTCAGGCATACTATTTTCAAAAATAAGAGGGTGTTTGTAGAGAGATTAACCCTCATGAAATATATTATTATTTGCATGAAAACATAGTTTAATGTTCCAAATTGTGTATAATATTCATGTTTTGCTACCATAACATCATCCACTTTTAAAGAAACCCTCAATCATAATTAAGGCCCCACAACAGATGACATGTTTACATACAAATATGACTTCAAACCAATGTCCCAATCGGATTCCCTTGTGACGCCTTTATGATTCATCAACTTTCAAATATTTAAGGACATGCTGAGATCTACATGGGTAGAGATTCAGGACAATGGAAATGACGACAATGACTATAATAATGTTAATAATGATGACCAATATGATGATAAGTGAGATCATACATTATAGCTTGATCATAACATTTATTTGCCCGAAAGAGCTAAAACTCTATAACTTGAGCAACATCTACATTTATTTTACTGAGAATATGATCATTTTCCTTATAGCAACAATAATAATTCTTTCATAAATATGATGAATTTGTGTTTAGTATATTGCATCTTGCACATTGGTCGACTCAAACATCATAATATTACATGCACCATCATCAACATCATTTTAATGATGGAATCTACATGATGCTCCTCTTGCTTCATAGGTTAATCATGTAGTTGGATAATCGCACAATATATGCTTATTCATCTCAAAGATTACTTATAGGATGTTTTTTAATGCTCTCTCTCTCTCTCTCTCTCTCTCTCTCTCTCTCTCTCTCTCTCTCTCTCTCTCTCTCTCTCTCATATTTATTTTTTAATTTATTTATGCAAATAATTGACACCACCAACTTAAATAAATAGATAAAAATCCAAATAAATTCACAAAATTATAGATAAATTCATAAAATATAGAAACATTTTTAATATCAATTTTAGCTAAAATCAATTTTAATTTAGAATTTTATTTATCATACAACATACTTTGCTAAATGTTACTCAAATAATTTATAATCTATAAATTCTAAAACACACTCACTAAACTACTAAAAATTGGATCTTCATTTTGTATTCTTAAACATGCTGAATTAAACATCTTAAGATTGTTCAAGTTGCAAATGTTCCAAGCTAGTTCAATGGAACTTGTTATCATCTCCATATTTGCTGATAATTATTTAATCTAAGAGTAAGCACTTATATAAAATCATTCTATGACATCATATAAGATTTACATGTTATCATAAAATTATTAATAAGCTTCATATTAGTCACATAAGTTCATGTGATCAACAAATCAAATTATAAACAAAATGATATTATTCCTCTTCTTTGAGTCATACACTAGATCATTTGGGAATCATTCAAAATCTTCATTTGTATCTAAGATAACCATCTTGAATTGTCAAGCCCTGTAACATCTAACATCCCACCCATCTATGTATCTGATGTATGATAGATAGATATACTTCATGCCACATATTTCATGTATCACTTGTCTATTTTTTTTAATTTATGTAGCTATTTCTATAGCGCCCAAAATCATATAAAACTACAAGGAAATATGGCCCTTTCCGGCAGTATTTCTGTCATCTTATCAATTGGAACTTTTTCCAGTGGAGTTTCTAGTGGATATATTTCACCGGATTTAAGTAAACCAGCAGAATTTCTGACAAAAGTTCCGTTGATAAGTTCTGACATATTTTTTAGTGGTTTTCCTATAGTGTAAATAAATGGTCACACGACTATTTATGGCCTCTCCTTTTGCATTCTCTCTTTCTCTTTCCCTTAGATTATCACACCATGGGACTTATACATCAAGTATGTATTCAATTCTTTGTACAATTGATGCTAGAAATAAAATTAACAAAACCCGTCTCTTTGTTTTCGGGTTCCTTGGGTTCACACCTCTCTCTTCTCTTTGTTATTTTTTCTAGCTAGCTTGTCTCTAAGAGTATGATTCTAATACCATACCACAGACAAATACAAATCCAACATGTAGTTATTTTCTTATAGTAGTATTATACTGAAGTAGTCATCCTTCATTTCATTATTCCATATATATATATATATATATATATATATATATATATATATATAATTTT